GTAAACGCTTCGCCTATGAGAAAAAGGAGCAGCGCATGAACCGAACGCAACACACGCAAACCGAACCAAGACAGTCGAACCGAACAGTTCGGAAGGTTTTCATAAATCATCGCATCCCTACTTTTTACCTTTTTTCTTGACTTATTAATGATTTTTTTTCAACTTAATTTACAGCAGTCAACATATCATTCAAGGTCTCATCTAATTGGTCAAATGCCAAAATAAGATGTACAGCCATGTAGCTGTAACTTTGCTGAATGGCTGGATATAGATCTTATGCTTCTAGACCTCACTGAGTGATGGGGGGAGGGACTCCATTTGTAAGGGGTGTGCAAGTGATCAAAAACGGTAACGAAAAAGAAATGCATTATTTATATCAGCCTTTATACCACAGCCTAAAACTGTTCACATTCTGCTCCAATTCTTTTTACAATGCAGTGAGATTAGTCCACTACCAACTCTAGAACGCCACAATTCCTAATTCAACAGTTTTAGATGTAGGGAGTTGTGTGCGTACTCACAGATATAGTAATACTCTCTGCCTGGGCGGAACTCGAAGCCTAAGGAGAACGGAGTGAAGAGCTGGAACTTCTCTGAGAACTTGAGCGGCCCATTAGGCGACAGGGGCCTGTTGCATTCCCAGCGCTTGAAACCCTTGGCGGTGTGATCACAGGAGCTGTAGCCATCATAGTTCACCATGTAGAGGACGTAGCGCTCCGCCAGATCGTCGGACACCGGGCTGATGTAGTGCGGACAGTAGACATCAAGGTAGTCGTTGATGCAGACATCGATGTGGTAATCGCCTCGGTAAAATCTAAAGGAAACAAACATTTATTGTGAGTCTCAACATTATTAAAGTTTATGCACCTCTTTCTGCAGTTTTTATTCTAAATGAAACAGCTGAAGGAGTTGTGCATTTTGGATAAAAATAGTACACAGACAGGAAATTGTTACATTTAATTCTATTCAATTCAGTTTATTTCTATAGCGCCAATTTACAACACATGTCATCTCACTTTACAGTTCATCAGAACATGCAGTCAAATTGATTCAAACTTTTCTATCTAAGGAAAACCAGTTGATTGCATCGACTCATTGACTCGAAGGCAATCCCTCACACCAAGCATGCTTGTAG